GATTCCACAAGAGATTAAAGCGCATCCAGCTCGGGCGCAGAAAAGTTGGTCATGCCCTTTAGCGCACTATCACCACCTGTCGCAATATGCTTAGACAGAATAGGTGAGCCAGAATCGGAGGCTTCTTCCTCTATATGGCGAGCGACATCGCCATAGTTCTCGTGGCTAACAATGAGGTTTGAGGTCTCGTCCTCCCACTGTCGGTTGAGGCGGTCGAATACTTGGCTGGCTGTACTGGGCATTTTAGTAATTGACAAGTAAAGCTGAACTTGCTCTCTGTGCTTTGATTTTTTTCCAAATTAAATGGCCAGGATTTCGCGAAAACCAGATATGCTATAGATATTACGATGTCGCACTAGCTTCAGATACATATTTTTTAAAATGATACCACGCTGTTATGTATATTTAAATATTACAGCTGCAGCCTAGTTATATTAAAAGTGATAGAGCTATATCGCAGCTTAGAATTATTATGGCGTTTTAAATTTGAAACTGTATTGATAGCGTTGTATCGTGAGCAAATACTGCTATATAAGGTACATGCACATAACTGACGAAAAATTCACTTTTTTAGCCTGTGGCCTATTACGTTTGAAATATTATCTGCTTTAAGACCTGACTGCCGCATTCTACAAAACTACAATGCACGTCAAATCCTAAGCATGCCCCCTTATGCGAACTACTTTACTGTTTACATGTAGATGGGAGAATCTAACGAGGGCCCTCATCCGGAGGGCCCTCGCATAAAAAAGAGCAGTAAGGAAAACTACAGTTTACCGGTATCTGTACTTGTAAATACCAGTATAAATCGTTCCCGTTGCAGAGACCGTTCCCGTTGCAAATCGTTCCCATCCCATCGACCGTTCCCGTTGCAAAAACAAAAACGTTTTACTTTCAGATTCTAAGCAAACTCATGAACTCGGTCACCGGGCCCTTGCTGCCGAATGGATATCTGGCCGTGGGCCTCATCCTACCGGATCGCGTTATACCTACACTACTAGCCGAAGCTAAGGCCCGTACGTACACTGGAGTTTTAAATCGTGTCGGAGGTGGCGACGACTCCCACCGCCAACAGTCTCGCGTGGATAGTGCTGCGCTGTCGCCAGCTCTCTTGGAGCTGCGTAAGGCGCTGGCTGTAGTCATTGGAATGCTACACCCGGGTAGGAAGCCAGGTGTATTCTCGTTCATGCGCTCGAAGCCAGGCGGAACAGAGCAGGAGGCCCACCAGGACTACCAAGGCGACGACATAGCTCGTGCCCGCGCAGCCCATCCCGGCGGAGTTCCAGCAAGCATGGTGCTAGCTTTGCAGCCCAATACGAGGCTTCGAGTCTTCGACGGATGCTTCGCTGCCAGGGACGACAGTAAAGAGCGCATTGTGGAAATTCCCGTGGGATTTTGCCTAATCTTTAGAGGAGATCTCATATCTCATCTCGGTGTTGCTTTCATCAAAACTGAGTACCGTGTACACTGCTATCTAAGCTACGACGACGTGCACTGGACACCTAATGTGGTCCAAAATGTTCTTCCGAGACATGGTGTGTGTGGTTTCTGCGGGTGTCAAGATGCTAAAAAGGCCTAGGCTGCGCAAACATCGGTATTTGTGTGAGCAGAATCCCGATGAGGCTTCGAACCGGTTGAAGCGAAAGCGCGAGGGCAAGGAGGGTGTCTTCAAATGCGAGTTGTGCCCCAACGTCGAATACCCCGTGGCGAGTAGTTTGCGTTCGCACAAGAGCAGAGTCCACGGTAGCGGCCAGTAGGTGGAGTAAATCTCATTACATCGTATTTGAAGGTTCATATTGCAAATTTTCTTTTTTTTAATTATTGGAAGTTGAAGTAAAATTTAAAGTTGAAGTTGCAAGAAAAAAAATAGTTAGACGTATAGCTTCTGTCTGGTCTACTGCTTCTCGTTTGGCTGCTGGTCAGTAAAGGGGATACGGCCGGCAAAACCCCATGAACGCGGTGGTAGGAAAGCGTCTTCGAAACTCAAAATTACGTCTCCTTCGTGGATGCCGAACTGTTGCATATCAATCAGGGGCAGACCTACCATTGTAGGTGGAGTAGCAGGATGACTCAAATCCATGCGCTCACTATAAGTTGGCTCGCGTCCAGTTCCTCTTTTGCCTTGATTCTTTCGATGCTGGGCTTGTCGTTTTCCCTTTCGAATCGTGCGGATTGTAGCTGGTATCGGCGGCTTGCATCCTTGCGTTTAGAAATGTCCTTGGCAACGATGAGAGAGCGTGGGTCTGCGCTTAGAACCTGTTGCATGAATCGTCGAAAGGCGTGGCCCCGGCTGCTGTCTGAAGCTCAACCAAATCCAGAGTGTGTGAGGCCAGTGGTTGTGATGTTGCTTGGATGGCCCGACGCCCTATGCTGCGCATGTACGCGAACATCCCGCGAAGGTTGATGGTTATGATGCGTGCTTGGAGCAGTATAAACAATCTTCCACTGGCCGGCAGTGTCATCTTTAAATACAGCCCTAATCTCTATCCGCATCGGGCAAGCCGAGCGCTTCGATCCCCGTAGCGTACGCTTCCGATCATGCTCGGTCAGGTGTTGAGTGTTCTTAGGGGCCCCTGCACGGTCACACTCGTAGTTACGAGCCCAAATTTCGCGTTCGGGGCCACCCTTGTACCGAACACGTCGGCGAGAGACGTTGAAGCCGTGATCTAGCGTCCACTGGTGCAGCGCGGCTTCAGCGGCATCGTGAGAGCTGTAAGTAGTCTCTGGGGGCGGCTGAATAGCGTGAAGGGGGAGGTTGTTGCCGCTCATGGCTAATCAAATTGTATTTGGTGACCTTTCGTTCGTCTATAACCTTCGTCTACAGCTTACAGCCATTCGTCTACACGAAAGTACCGGTTTATACCGGTAGGTACATCACAATCACACTTGGACCCTTTGTGCGAGGGCCCTCCGGATGAGGGCCCTCGTTAGATTCTCCCCATGTAGATCTTGCTGACATGTGTTTCGTCTCGACATGAGCACGATGCAGCACTAGATACTTCGTCGTCCACCTTGTCTCGAAAATACTGAGTGTTAGCCATGGATAACGGATAGTTTAGAACCGTAGATGCTAGCAGTGACTGAAGCTCAAGTTACGCGCTCGATGCTTCCATGTAGAGCCGTCCTTCCGAGATCAGAATGATAAATTGTCAAATTGTCAGCTGCCATGTAGCTCCCCTCGTCTCAGACATGAATCGTGTATTATAGTACAGGGTACAGTACAAGCACGAGCTTCGAGATGGTCTCTAACAGCAAAACAAAAGTCTGTCTTGACAATACCGTATACAAAAAAGAGAAGAAGAGTCAGAGCGGTGGAGGCCATGTAACATTACGTACCACGCAATGCAACACGCTAGACTCTAGCCTAGAGATTATTGAAGATAGGATAGAGTGTGCTGTTCGAACCGGCGCTGGGGATCTGCGACCTTGCTTACCTCTGCTGCATCCTCGAGTACTCTTAGTTCAATAAGCAATTTACCAAGCCGAGCACATCAACTCTACTCCATTGGCTTCAGTCCCAATACAACCAACGTCTTTACAAGCTGGTCCTCATGAAGTTATCATACATCACCGCGTTCGCCACCGTGGTTGTGGCTTTGACTTCTGTCCCTACCAACGCCGCCACGATGTTGACGGCCAACAACCTCGCTGAAGAGCTGCAGACCAACCGTCAGCTTGGTGCCGGTGGAGGTCTTCGTGGTGCCACCCAGCAGGGTGGGCAGTACCAGAACACGCCTAGTCCGATCACCCAGTCCATCAACACACCCAGTCCAGTCACCCAATCGACCACTTCGAAGGGAGGCAAGCCGCAAGGTCAAGGAAATGGCAACCGCCAGGACCACCGGGAAGAGGAGAAAGAGAAAAAGGAGAAGCACGAAAAGGAGAAGCAAAAGCACGAGGAGGAAAAAAAGAAACACGAGCACGAGAAGGAGCAGCACGAAAAGGAAAAAAAGGAAAGGGAGAGCAAGAATGAGGGATACAAGAAGCAGGGTGAGCCATCCCAATCCACTGGCGGTCAGCCTTCGAAGCAGGGCGTGCCATCCCAACCCTTTGGTGGTCAGCCTACGAAGCAGGATGTGCCTATCCAGCCTACTGGTGGTCAGCCTCAAAAGCAAGGCGTGCCGTCCATGACCGGTCAGAAGCAGGGTGTGCAGAACTAAAGAGGTTCTACCGAAAGGCGAGGCCTTTAAGCCAAGATACTGTGCGCTGGAAGCAGCAAATAAATGGTTTTCAAGCTTAAAACCATTAAGGTTCTGTTTTAAAAACCGGTTGGCCATAACTAAATACATGTACTAATGGAAATGAGGTGCGGATTATTGATAAATTCAATAAACTGACAGCTTTTTGTTTTAATTCGACGCAAGACATACTGTAGCAGCTTGATTTTTTTCTCCCAGGGGATGGCCATACAATATACAGAGCCACTAAAATACATGTACATCTAGATACGTGTGCTCACGAAACAAGTCGCAGTTCGAAACAGGAACTCGCAAATTGATAATATCAAAGTAAAAGTGGTGAGCTCTAAGAATCTGCATATGCAAATGCAGATTCCTAGAGCTCACCACTTTCTTCTTTTTCTCGTTATGCGTGCTTCAGCATCGGAAGCAAAAATATCCGAACCAACACACACGTTCAGGTCATGAACTTCAAGACGACTCCAAGATAAATGGTCTGTGCGTCGCTGACTTTATTCTAAAAACAAATGGTGGCAACAGTGCTTCGCGTCGCCAACTTGCTTCAAACGAGGACTACGGACGCAACACAAAAAAAAAAACACGACGGCCTCATCGCCAGCACGACCAGGACTAAGACTGCTTCACTACCGTCGCCTTGAAGACAGAGACGACAGCAGCAAGGCCACAGAGTCCTCGGGCTACTGCAACAGTTACGGCAAACACAACTACAGCCACGCCGCGACGGCTACGCCAAGCGCTATGGCTACGAAGACGACTGCGATTACAAACATGATGGCGGTAGCTATGGCGAGTATTTAATCCCTAGCTACGACTACGGAACCATACAGTAGTGCCAGCGCGGCAGATCAGTAATTGGCCGAATTGCAGATATAAATTCAATTCTTAATTTGATAATCCATGGTTGGATTTTCTGTTTTGAGAAACGTCAAACGGATTTCCATTTTGATTTTTAAAATCTCGAAGTGGGATCCGTTACATTCAAGAAATCAGGTAAACATTCGTGCTTGCCCGATCGTTTTTCAAATCTTCCGTAATCCAGCGCTGTCCGTAATCACCTCGTGATACATAATCCATGGCCAATGGTTTTTAATCGTACTTTGGCTTATCCGCTTTCCATATATTATCCTAGTCATAGTTATTGTTTCAAAACTCTTCTACACTTAAGTAGCTATTTTTACCGTGCCTGGTGCGTCTCGCGCTTTGGCTCAACCTTGAACGGCGCGTGCTGGTTGTTCTTAGCCGTGATGGCTCCATTCATGAGTGTGTTCTCAACATTGCGTTGTCTCTTGTTCCAAACACCGCGGTAGCAGGGCGCTACCAACTCGGCGAGGCCGTGAATGTGTTGCCGGCTCTGCTCGGCCGAAACGCCACAAAGTTGAGGCATGAGATACGAACACAGCTGTAAGATGCTCGAGTGTTCGCCCGTTGGAGTGCGTAGTGGTTCCAGCAGACCCCAGCCACAATCGCGGATCTCGATACCCTTTGCGCTAGTGCTCACGTGCGGCAATCGGTTGGGGCACTCGGCCACCGACTCCCATACAAACACGACGCGACCAGTTCGCACATCCGTCACGCGACGAATCACGCAACGGACACTAAGTTCGGCGTCAGGTGCGCGGTGTTGCCGCAGCGGCATGGGGCTTTTAAAGCACAAAGTGTCGCTGGTAGAGCCACCCACAACCGAGGCCTCCGACTCGGCATCCATGCACTGCCAGATTGCAGTTGCGCAGGATTTCACGTCGAACGGCAAGATCTTTGCGTCTTTTACTTCCATCACAGGTCCACGACGTTCGTCTAGAATCATCTGTGTTTCCTGGAGCTCCTGCTTGTCTCGAGTAAGGCCGCCCTTTTCAAACACCGCCTCCATCTCAGCTAGACGCGCTTCCAGACCGGAAGCCAAAGAAGCAAAGACAGCTGTCTCTTCCGCGTCACTTGTGTGTGGTCTCTTGACTCCAAGGACAGTGGCAGATGTCTCAGCGTCGGAGCTTGAGCTCATAGACGATTTACATCGCTTACGAAGAAGCTTCTCGAGACCTTTCGAGATCTTCAGTTGCTCCTGGATTAAACCTTTTAAACGCAGATTTTCCATCTCAGCTTTGCTTTTTTCTTCTTTCTGATGTTGCGCCATGCGTTCCCATACTGGAACGACCATCAACCCGCTCGTGGAGTCCCCTGCAGCTTCTAAGCCCATCAAAGGAGCAGCGGTTACTGCAACGGGCGAGTGCGGCGACCGCTCCGTCTGTCGACCTCCTTCCGTCTTTATTCCACTGTTCATGACAACCGGAATGGCTCGGATCTTACTGCGAGGCATCCTGGAGCGCACGTGCTCCAGCTCACGTTGGAGCTCCTGCACCTGTGCGCGTAAGCGTGTGAGCTCATCTTTCTGTCGTTTGCGCGAGTTGTTGACGGCTCCTGTGGCATTAGCGCTGCGGCCTCTTTTAGGCGGACTCGGATTGGTAGGCTGAGGTGCAGAAGGCATCGGCATAGGTCGCGTCGCCGGGGACAGTCCGTGCGTGGACGTTGGCGTTTGTGTAGAGTAGCCCCCCGAGCTACTTGGAAAGGCGAAGCGTTGGTCGCCACGAAGCGACGGGATGACCATCTTAGGTAGAGAAGGCAGTGGCGAGTTGCCTGTCGCGCTTTGTGGTCGGAGAGAAGGCAGTGGCGCTTGCTGTGTTTGTGGCTGTGTGGTCTTGTTGTTGCTGCCATTCGTCCCGGCGCGGGCCAGTAGCTCTACGATCGTGAGCGCTGTGGCATTGCGGCGTTCGTCGTCGTTGCTGTCGTCGCTCTGGGGGAAGGCGGCGTGTGGCATGAAGCTGTTGCGTGTGCTTCCCGTGGACGTGGAGCGCAGATTAAGCGGCGGGAACACGGCCGGACTGGCCATTGTGCGCGCTGCGGGGGACGATTCGGTTGATGAAGCGGAGGCGACGGAGGCCTTGCGTCTTGGAGACTGCGATTGCTGAACTGCCAGGAACCCCATGGCTTGTCTTGTGACGGCGGTGGACACAGGGGGAGAAGGGCAGGTGTCTTGGTCTTGTCCTCGGAGCGCGTTGGCAAATGTTGTGGGCAAATGTTGATGCCGACGAGTGCACGGCAAAGAAAAGGATAATCACGCTGTTTTTTCGCTTTTTATTTGAAATTTTCTGACCATTAGATCTAATTCCCTGTTGGAAACGATATCGGTTTTATCGACTGAATCGTCATTTATGTCAAACTTGAAACTGCGAGATCGAATGAGGATGGGCGTTTCCCAACCGCCAATTCCAGTCTAATCAAGCGAGCTCTCAAACACTGTTGATGTTGGCCACATGTCGACCAACCGACGCGCGGCGCCCTTTCCCAGATGTACCGTAAGCCGGGCGGCTTATCACCCTGTGATAGCGGATCGATTCCGTATTGAAATGATGGCAATGATAATACGATGTTCAACAGGGTCTTCAAGAGCTCAAATTGCTGATATGGCTTCTTCATTTAGGTACAGTTGTTGAAGCATGTCAAGTCAACGTTTTTCGGGATTGATTGTGCGAACAAAATTGACCTGCTGTTGTGCCGTGAGACGATGTTGGCCTGGCGACAGTAGCCTGCGGTCTCCGACTCAGAGCTCTGAGCTACCGGCACTGCGTCTACTGTAGAGTCTGTAACGGCGACACAGGCGCTATTGTCACTCGTCCAACGCCCGTCCCGGCTGAGAAATCGAGTCCTGCATGCCTACCCTCTTTCTGAGATTTTATCGCCGCTGATTGGCTAGCTCATCACTGGCTACATCGATGATGCAGAATCTGGAAGTCGCAACCGTGATGACGACACACAGTTGCTTACGCTCCGCTCCGTAAAGGGCACTGGTTGCACTGATTGCCGTGCACGTGCGACTCGCATTGCCAAAGCCGTCTGTTTATTACTGAGTACATGTATACCTGCCCCAACAAGAATTGGCCTAGCTGACTGTAGTAGTTATTGCTCGCTCCAGATAGAAACTAGCATGCGCCACCTCTTGTGTCATGTTTGGAGCTGGCCCTTACTGCACCGCAACGTCGATGCTGTCACAATTGACGGAGAGAGCCTGCTTCTAGTAGGCTCATTTGTTTATACTCTCACTACGCTGCGAACAATATGTTCTACAGGTCTACGAGGCGCCCTTATCGCTACGATTACTGTGCATGTAGTGGGTGCTACTTTGCTTTGCGGGCCGTCAACAAGTTGGATAAATGCAGGACATTAACAGGTGTTCACTGTGGATTGTTGGTGGGCATTGCGTTTGATTCTTCACCAAGCAAGAATTATTAGTACATGTATGTCCCAGAGCCAGTGGGCCAGGGATACGAAACATAGCTTGAGAATGTGGATTTCCATCTTTTTTCTGATTCCACTTTTTTAAGTGAGAAAAACGTAGAACTTTGCTGCGAGTTGAGGATGGATCTTTTGGTCGAGCAAGACTATTCCATCTGCAAGACTCACTTGCGATGTTTTGAAAAGGAACTCGTAAATCTTATCGGCTGAATAACGGCTCCTAACAAGTCGTTCGTACCAACTAATGCTGACCAGATGGCGGAACTGGCTAACGCTGCGGGGGGTAAGCTGCTGGCAGCGCAAGTGCAAGGTAGGAACTGAGTCGGTACCGCAACATTACTACAACATGACGATTTCTCTTTTAGAACAACACAATGGCGTTTTGTATATTACGCTGAATATCAAAAGCGTAAAATGTGAAATTTTACAGTGTCTATTAAGTGCAAGAGTTAATAAGTACGAGTTGTACAGACATTTCATTTCCAAGAAGGGGGGAAAAGCAAGATGCCCAAGCAGCAAGCGCGCCGAGAAGCGCCGAGCACAGGTAAGACACGGGGGGGGCATAGTGACAGGCTGCCTGCAGCACGTTGTCCTAATCTAAAACGTTGTGTTCTATCATGTATAGGGCGCTGTCTACGGGCAACACCGCATGTCGACTACCTACGTGCTGGACGCGGATTTATACACGATTCCAGTAGCGACGAAGACTACGTCGATGACCCTCTGGTTACGGGTGAGGATATCGTAAATGAGGATGCAGACATGGAGGGCCTGGAGAACGAAGCCTGCGATGATGCGCACAAGGTCAATACGCTACCGGATAGGAGGGATACGGGCGTTGCGGCGGGCGATAAGGACAGCGCTTCCGGGGAGAAGAGCGTTGCGGCGGGCGAGAAGGACGTGGCTACGGGTGAGAAGGATGTGGCTGCATGTGAGAAGAACGTGGCTGCGTGTGAGAAGGATGTGGCTGCCGGTGAGAGCGACGACGGCGCCAGTGTTGCGGCAGGGCGAGAAGGATGACGCTGCGCGCGAGAAGACGGTGGCTGCAAACACCAAAGCCACCGCCGCGGAGCCGGCTGATAACAACGCGTTGACCGATACAGGTATATATCCCGGTCGATTTTCTTTTGTTGCTGACACATTACTTGTGTTGCTTACTATGTTGCTTTCAATGGTTACAAAACTAAAGACTATGCCCGCGCATTTGTTGATGCCGCCCGGACCAATGCCATCGAAGAAAGTAGCAAACGGAAGCAGCTGTCCGTACCGTACAGCCGTCAATCCTGCCATGGTGCCTTTGAGACGAACGAAAGCGAAGATCCCTCACCAAAGCGAATAAAACCCGGCACAAAGAGCCTGGGATCAACTGGGGTTTATTTTACGGCGTCGGCGAAGAGCAAAATTGTGCGACGCCGGCCAAAAGCGTACGACAGTCGTGAAAAGATGGTGAAGGCACATCAGGCAGTCGAAAACGTCAAGCCACCACTTCCAGTGAGGACGTTAGACAGTTGGGAGACTTTTCAAGAGGCCCTTCGCTCTTACGAGGCTGAATATTATCTGCACCATCGCGTTCGAAGCTCTGAAACCCGTGCCAAGTGCAACAGGTCAGTATTCTGTGGGCACATGAACAGCGTGCGCTGTTGCTAACATCGTTGATTTTTGTTATGTTGTTTGCTATGTTATTTGTGTTACTTGTTGTGTTGCTTAGTCAAGTCGCCCTAGGGCAAAGATCATTCCCGAGCGGTTTTCCCACAGTTTTAAACGAATGAGGTGCACTCATGGCGCAACACAGTCAGCTCGTGGTGATGGACGGCGTGATTGTGACTTGCGATACACGGGATGCATGGCAAGTTTCTTGGCGCGAACTGTCAACGTAGTCGAGAAAGGAGTTGCTAAATGGAAGGTGACTGTGGATCCGGACTCGGAGGTATGGCTAATTTGATGCATTATTTATCGTTTTCTTACAACTATGTTTTGCTTAGATCTCCACCCACAATCACAAGACAAGCAAGAATATATACGATTCCTATCGCAGGGCCAAGTCGTTGTCGGTCCCACCCCAGGTGCGCAGGGAGCTTGGGCTTCTGACAGAAATGAAAACGAGCACTTCTGATATCAACCGATATCTTTCAAATCAGCTTGGTGGGCGTCGCTGGTGAATTTGGCTGTAGCAGTCTCTATTTTAATTCAGTTTTGCTACCTCATTTTATAATTACTCTCCTTTTTTCGTTGATGATATCCAGGTATATTTTTAACACCACAACAAACGACAAATCTTCTCCGTCAAGTATTGGGCACGACAACCCTTGAGCGCACCAAAACTATTCTCGATTATTTTGCTGACGGGAATGCCGGCAATGACGTCCTATTAGTTCAGGACCAAACGGATATCACTTGTGTGATTGCGATGCAAACGTGCATTCAGAAAAAGTGTTTTGCACAGTGGGGTGACACGCTAGTCATGGACTGGACACATGGGACCAATAATTTGGGATATCATCTGGGAAACGTCGATAATTATTTTTTTCTTGAAATGAGGTCTGATATCATACTCGTGTATATGCTACAGGGAGTCTTGTTGTTACAGCTGCTACAGGCAGAGGAATGCCTGTAATGATTTTCTAGCCCTCGACCAAAACGCTGTCACGATGGAACTCATTGTTGAGTTTTTCAAACGCAAGAATCCGTCCTGACAATCAATCCAGACCGTCGTCATCGACAAGGACTTCGTTGAGTGGCGAGTGCTGAAGAAAGCATTTTCTGGCGCTGATGTTTTACTTTGTCAGTTTCATGCACTAACGTACTGGCGCAAGGTTTGTAAGCGGAAAGAGTATAATTTGAAGCTGACAGAGAGGGAAACGTTGGAATCGGCATTCGCGAAACTCATCTACTGGTGCGAGTTTGCGCTGTGTTGTTTGTTGTGTTGCTAGCTTGTGTCGTTTGTTGGTTGCTAGCTTGTGTTGTTTGTTGTGTTGCTAGCTTGTGTTGTTTGTTGTGTTGTTAACGGTATGTTGCCGGTTGTGTTGCTGAAAACAGTAAAACTAAAACGACGTTTGACTCAGAAGTATCCACGTTCAGACAAATTTGTAAGCTAGAATGCTCAGCGCTGCAAAAATATTTCGAGGCGAATTGGGAGTCTTGAGTTGGAATGTGGGCAGACAACGTCAGGGGCAAATCATTGACGGCCGGTAACACGACGACGAACCGGATTGAGTCAAACTGGAACCAGCTAAAACTTCTGCTGGGAAAGCGCCCCCGACTTGACTCAACAGTGAGTGGACTACTATCTCACCAGGCTACCATAACAAGCCATCTCATTACCGCCATGCACAAGCATACGTCAAGGTCGCGACAGCCCGAGGGCGTTCCCGGATTTCTCTCTCTAATGTCAAAGCACCTGAGCGACACAATGCTAGCTAGCGTACGCACGCAATGGGACTACTTTATGGTATTCAGTGCTGCGACAACACGCATTAAGCGTGGTTCTGCTGCTGGTGAGTGGGGAGTGCGAGCGGGGGAGCATACACATCAATGCAACGACTTTCAGTGGTCATGTTCGTGTCTGTTCTACTGCAGCTACAATCTACCATGTCAACATTTGATGTACATCGCTGCCAATGTCCATCAATTTGAGAGTCTGCCAGTATCAACTATACCTAGGCGCTGGGATATGCTGGCGATGGCAAATTTGGATCAAGAATTTGCAGATGGCGTATGCATGCTCCAGACAGTGCAGGCAGCGATGAAAG